TGCTAACCACGACCCCGTAGAAGGGAGGTCGCTGGGGAAGCATGACCTGGTTGTCAGGTTCCTTAAGGGGGCGAGAAGGTTAAATCATCCACGACCCCCCTCTATACCCTCTTGGGACCTGACTCTAGTGCTCACAGCACTACAGCAGGGCCCATTTGAGCCTTTGCAGACGGTTGAGCTGAAGTTCCTTTCGATGAAGACTTTGCTCCTGCTGCCATTGGCCTTCATCAAGAGGGTAGGGGACATGCACGCATTTTCGGTCAATGATTCGTGCCTAGAGTTCGAGCCGGCTGATTCCCAGGTAACCCTGACTGCATCTGCTGCCTACTTATACTCACGCTGTGATCAGCAGCAGCTGGATGCAATAATCATATGCCAATATGCATTGGCTTGTTTAGTTTACACTCGAAGTGGATTGGTCTCTCTAAGCGAGATCCCAATTCCGTCGGTCACCCGACGTGACGTCTCCGTTCCCTCCTTCAGGGAACGAGGGTTACCATACGTAACCGAGACGTTCCATTGGATGTTCATTAAAGTCTCCTTGTTTGAAATCTACTCCACGTTTCAACGTTCCTCGCTCCACGCTCCTCACAGTAGCTGTAGCGTGACAGTTGTGAAGTCAAAAATAAAATAATTGTACATAAATGGGTTAAGCAAAACCAATGTGATTAATTCTGAGAACTTTTTAACTGCAGGCAGATATAGGCCTACATTATGGTACAGTACAAATATTTGGAACGTCCCTTATTTTCTTAAAGAATAAATACTTATTGTCTACAAGAATACAAGAATAAACACAATTTTCTTAAAGAATCAGATTCACAATTGTCCCTTATTTTCCATTTCTGAAGTTAATTGGCAACCCTAATGATGACGTAATTATCTTTTGACTCCCCTGACAGTGGACACCTTGCTCAAAAAAACAAAAAAAAAACAAACCTCAGTTGTTGGAGATATGCGAGCGAATAATAGAAAAAAAAAAAAAAAAAAAAGTGGGCCTGTCTAAGGCATGAAATTCCAGGGCTGAAAATGAGTCCCACCCCGGCCCTGTCCAGGAGTAAGCTGAGGTTAAGTGTCTTGCTCAAGGGCACAATGATGATAATTCACATCTCCCTTCAAGGGTTTGACCATACGACCTTTCACTTACCGGCCCACATCTTTCACCCTGTATACCTGAAAATTACTGAAAATTTCACCATCTGGTGTTCTTTAACAAATAATTTCTTTATACAACTGTTTTTCAAAAAACCTTGACCTTGTTGAATGTTCAGGATTGCATCATTGTTACATTTGCATAATGAACTGTGTTTGGTCCATTTCTTCTTGCATCTATTTAATGGTGAATAGTCACCTTCACACTGCGATCACACCTTATGTGTTGATACTCATGCATAGCTAACAAACAACAAGGTTTGACAACGACAAGGTGACTCTGACGTCCCATTTCATTTACACAGAACCATGCACCATTAAGCACACAGATATGGATATATGCTTTTTTTTTGACGTGCATAATAAATTGTGAAATAATTGCATAAAAATTACTGAAATTTAGTGTGGCAAAGATAGTGTACAATGACAAGATAATCAACTTTCTCACTTGAGCTGATCAGTGCTCTAGCAGCACTCAATTTAAAGGAGTCAATAACTTAAATGGCCAATCAAATAAAAGAGAGCTATTAATGTTTACAGCAGCCAAGCACAAATTTCAGCATGATGCTTCAGTTTTAACAGTCAAAAAGTGAAATGTCAAATGTAAGTAAGTAGTTAACATTTAATATTTGACAACTATGTTATGATAGAAATGTTAAACGAACAACAGTAATATCCAGTTATGCAAACCTCTTAACCGGACCCATTTTCAGAACATTAGGCATAAGATTAAGAATGATTTTTTTTCTGCATAGAGTTATTATTATTATTATTATTTATTTTTTTAGCATTATAACTTGGTTAAAATTTCCAGATATCAGATATCCTTTCAGTAAATTCACTTTTCGATTTTAAGACCTATACTAGAACATGGTCAAACGTGTGTCTTTAATATATATATATACATACAGTATATATATATATATAAACTTAAATAACTTGCTAACAATCAATAGCAGCAAATTAGGGGTTTATTGAGGCAAAAGTTGTAGTTAATGTTTTTGTTAATTGCGAGAACCGGACCTTTAAACAAAGTGTCACCAAATTTGCAAATAGGTCAAGTGCATTACTTAACAATAAATTCTAGTTTTTTAACTATTTTCTATACCTGTTTCGTCTAATTTTCTTAAATTAGATGTCAAAGATGCAAGTAACCGACAGCATCTTCAGGTAAATGAAACGCCTCCCGAAAACAAAAGCAATCCACGGCACAGGTTTATAAATTCTCCACAATTAGCTGCACTTATGCTTGTTCATGAGCACTATCAGAGCAAGTTAATATCGTATGCTCGGCAGATGCCACACCAGATCAGAATGATCTAGACAACAGCACCGCAGAGCAGATATCTGCTCGTGTGCCAGTGCATCCCCGCCAATCAATACATCTCATTCCGGTCACTGCCACCACAGAGCAGTCACTTCAATAAAGCAGCTCTTCAGGTATGAACCATCTGGCAGAATATGTTAAGTTTATGTAACACGGGGCTCTTTTTTCCTCCTCTTTCTTCTTGTTTTGTGCTGTGCAACGCAGCATTGCTTCCCTGAGTAATCGGTCTGAACTGACCCCGTGTGTACAGCCAGACCAAGGTTAAACGGATAGAGAACAACTTTGGCTTGGCTGACTGCAATATTTCTTATATGTCAGCAACTAGCCCTCAGTGTAGCAAAGCATGCATAAGTGAACTATTCGTTGTTTTCTCACTCACTTGTATCTTGCATCACGAAAGAAAATGCATTTGTACATTTTCTGAAGAAATGGGAGGTGATGTTTGCCAGTGCAAAATTTGCTGCCTTGATAAATAGGTGATGTGGGTGGTTGCTATGGTACTTTTACACAGTTGCTAAGGTATTTTGAGTTTTTTTTTTTTTACTACTTTACCATGCCCTATTTTGAGTCGATTGTCGCTACATGGTTACTATTATAATACTATTATTATATTAAGTATGAATGGCTTTTAGATGGTATATAAGGTATTTTGAGTGGCTTTTAGCATGCATGCAGTTGCTAAGTATTTTGAGTGATTTTTAGCATTTCACTATGCATTTGCGGCATTTCGAGTTGATTTTAGCACATTGCTACATGTGCTAAAGTATTTTAAGTGTTTTTTTGCATATAGCTACATGGCTGCTAAAGTATTTTGAATGGCTTTTAGTTGGTATACATTTGCTAAGGTATTTTGAGTGGCTTTTAGCATTTCACTATGCAGTTGCAGTATTTTGAGTTGATTTTAACATGTTGCTACTTGCACTAATGTGTTTTAACTGTTTATTGCATGTTGCTAAGTGGTTGTTAATGTATTTTGAATGGCTTATAGATACTTTAGGTTTGCTATACTTTGAGTGGCTTTTAGCATGTCGGTATGCAGTTATTAAGGTATTGTGAGTGATTTTTAGTATTTCACTTTGCATTCTGCTGTATTTTGCATTGATTTTACATGTTGCTAACTATGCTAAGGTATTTTAAGTGTTTTTGCATGTCGTTATGTGACTGCTGAAGTATTTTGAATGCCTTTTAGTTGTTATACCTTTGTTAAGGTATTTTGAGTGTTTTTTAGCATGTCGCTATGTAGTTAAGGTATTTTAAGTGACTTTTAGCATTTCACTATGCAGTTGTGGTATTTTGAGTTGATTTTAGCATGTCTCCAAATGCGCATATTTATAGTTTATTATTTATTATATATTTATAATGCGCATAGGTATTTAAAGTTTTTTTTTTTGCATGTCACTATGACATTTTAAGTGTTTCTTTTTTATTTTTTTACTGGTCGCTAAGACATTAACATTCAAAATTGTAAAATATTTGTTTTTATTTTGAATGGCTTTCAGTTGTTATACATTTGCTAAGGTATTTTGAGTGGTTTTTAGCATGTTATTATTCAGTTGGAAAGTATTTTGAGTTGATTTTAGCATGTTGCTAGAGCTGTTAAGGTATTTTAAGTGCTATTTTCCCCATGTTGCTATGTTTTCGCTAATGTATTTTAAATAGCTTTTGGTTGCTATATTTTTACAACAGTATTTTGGGTGGCTTATAACACGCCGCTAAGCACTCGCTAAGGTTTTTTGCATGTTTGTTTTTAGCATTTCACTATGCATTCACAGTATTACGAGTTTTAGTTATATAGTTAAATAGTTCCGAGTATTTTAGCACATTGCTACATATGCTAAGGTATTTTAAGTGTTTTTTTTATATTGCTGTGTGGCTGCTAAAGTATTTTGAATGGCTTTTAGTTGTTATACGTTTGCTGAGGTATTTTGAGTGGTGTTTAGCATCGCTATGTAGCTGGTAGGTATTTTCAGTGACTTTTAGCACTTCACTATGCAGTTGTGGTATTTTGAGTTGATTTTAGCATGTCTCTTAATTCGCTAAGGTATTTAAAGTCTTTTTTATTTGCATGTCACTATGACATTTTAAGTGTTTTTATTTTTTATTTTTTATTGGTCGCTAATACATTAGCATTCAGAACTGTTAATTTATTTTGAATGGCTTTTAGTTGTAATACATTTGCTAAGGTATTTTGAGAGGCTTTTAGCATGTTTCTTTGCAGTTGGAAGATATTTTGAGCTGATTTTAGCATGTTGCTACAGCTTTTAAGGTATTTTAAGTGTTATTTTTCCCATGTTGCTATGTATATGTAATGTATTTAAAAATAGCTTTTAGTTGGTATATTTTTGTTAAAGTATTTTGAGTGACTTTTTGCTATGCACTCGCTAAGGTATTTTGAGTGAGTTTTAACATCACACTATACTCTTAATGCATTTTGTGCTGTTTTAAGAATGTTGCTGTGCAGTTGTGGATGGGATGGTTGCCAGCATGCAACACCATACAAGTTCTTAGAGTCCTACTCACCTGTACAATTGGGTTCACAGAGTTTTGCTTGGTCTCAGCCAGTGGCTGTTCTTGGCCCAGGTTAGAGGCCACAAAGCTGAAGCCGCGGAAGAGCTGGTGTGCGTTAGCGCTGGGTGGAACACCGGGTGAGTCTGCAGACACACAGATACAAACATATTTAGAAAGGCAACGTGGACACAGTCTCTCTATGAATGGAAACACACAATTGATCCCATTTGAGCAGTATGAATTGACTGGGTGCACTATGCGGCAGGACCTGAGGGCTCTTGGTAAACAGGTTCTGCTGCTGCAGTTCACTCTAATTTGTTTTTGCACTCTCGCTGTGCTTGCTGGGCACAGACTGTTATGTAAGAATAGTTTCCAGCTTGCTGTCTATCACATTGTCTATGACGCTTGAAAGCAAAGACTTACAATGATTCTTCCAGCTATAATTTAAATAAAATAGCATATGAGTGTTACGTGAATTATCTGAAAATCAACTGCAATTTGCGTCACCTGTCGGTGTGCGGGATGTAAACTCAGGATCAAAGTGGAATGTGTCCTCTGGTCGGCCCACTGCTGGTTTGAAGGGAGGCTTGATTTCTCGTCTGTACAATTTCTGTTGACCAAAAATACATCATTTAAGACACATACACCAATGCTAGAGGTTATACCTGCTACAGCAAAACATGGATCAAGACATAATGGAGCTTCCTGTGAATTTTGAGTAGTAATTTAATAGAACATTCAAAATCAAAAGCTATGTGAACTAAGTGTTGGATTAGTCAAAAGTAAATAAATATAGCATTTACATTTACGTCTGAATATTAAATATTACTTTAATGGTTGATCATTCAAAATAAATTTAAAAAAAGATTTAAAAGGTACACAGTATTTTTTTGAGGAGTAAAAAAAAATATTTCTAGTATTTTAAGCAATTTTAAATGTAAGTTTGAAACTCACTATGAATAGAAATGAACAGTGTTGGGGGTAATGCATTACATTTTAAAAGTAACTTTCCCCGACAATGCAAATGAACTGTTTTTATTTCTAACATGATGGACAAAGATTACTTTATTCAATCTTCTTTAAGTGCTGGAGTGATGTGCAATGACTGTTGGGTAAATTTCCCTCTGCACATCCTGTGAAGTGGCGTTCCCTTATTCCCTATGCTGTTCACAGCTCCCTTCAAAACGAACATTTACTGTATGGTCTCTTTGGATTGGAATCTCACTTAAGATGAGTGATACCCAGTGAGGTCCACTTCGCATGGCATTTATTGTTTAAAAAAAATTGTTAGCAGAATTTAGTAATTTAGGATTTATTAATAGAAACCTGTTTAAAATGCACTATGCAGAAAACAGTATGCTACGAATAAGGCCCCAGTCACAATTACGGTTGCAAAGAGGTGGAAATGTTCCGGTAAATTTCCGGAAACTTTCCAAAAATCCCTGGAATATTCCAAAAAAATCCTGGAAAGTTTCCAACATTTCTGGAATATTTCCGAAATTTACTGGACATTTTCCACCTTTTTGCAACCCTAGTCACAATATTACACACGAGTTACCAGCCTACATATTCAAGACTGATTAACATTACAAAATATTACATAGTATTATGTACAAAGTTTGGAACTCACATTCCAGTCTATTGTAGCAAAAAATATATGCCGCTTGATTTCTTCCACTCCATCAAGTCCTGCACCTGCAAAACATCCAGAAACATTCAGTCAGATAACAGGTTGTACAGACATTTTTTTTTTTATTCTGGATGGGATGAAATGCCTGATAAAACAAACCTCTCCTAAAACCCATCTGTCACAAAAAAAAAAACTATTTAAAGGATAATATTCCCATGAAGCATCGGTCTGTCTGTGAGTCAGACAAGTGTTGAAAGCACTCCTCTAAAATCCTCTACAGCTGTGCTTTATCTAAACTTTTAAAGCCCCAACAAATAGGAATCTAAAAGTGCTGTGCTATAATGTGGAACTAAATGGTCAAAGTTAGGCTGGTTAGCATAACCCAGTTAACCCCTGTTAACAGATGCTGTAACAGCTGGCTGCAAAAAGCATTGACGGTGGACACGGCTGAGCTCTTTGGCTGTGATTTGAAACAGTTTTGACAAATGCTTCAATTCGTATTCGTGTTTATGCTCAGGAGAGCTTCAAAGGTTTCTGCTTACAACATGTTTTGCAGCATTTAGTAATATAGACAATCACAGACAAATGTTGATTTCCTATACGCATTGGCCAATCAGAGGCGTTTAAGTTCAAGTCATGTAAACATCTACTGCGATTAAGTCCTTACTCTGATTATTGGAAATAATCCCATTATTGGTGCACATGTGTTTATATTCATTGTCTGTAGCAGTGTTCGGGAAAGTTACTTTTAAAAGTAGTGCATTACAATATTGTGTTACTTCCTAAAGAAGTTACTTAGTTTCTTTTTATGGAAACTTTTTATGGAAAGTTAATTTTGCGTTACTTTTTCTCATCTGGGCTGGGCTTGCTTGTTTGTTTTTAATATAAAGTTCTATTTTTGGCAAATGTAAAAGCCATTTCACACCAAAAGTGAACTGAATAATCCTCAGGCTGAATGAAATATAAATTTGTAAATTTGTACAGCAGTAGAGGGCTGCCAGTCAATAAATGGGAAAACAAAGTAACTGGGCATTACCTATTTGAAAAAAAGTAACTCAGATATTTTCTTGTAAATTTAAAAAGTAATGTGTTACTTGAAAAAGTAATCTGATTTCGTAACTCACGTTACTTGTAATGTGTTATCCTAAACACTGGTCTGTAGTATACAGTGGGGCAAAAAAGTATTTAGTCAGCCACCAATTGTGCAAGTTCTCCCACTTAAAAAGATGAGAGAGGCCTGTAATTTTCATCATAGGTATACCTCAACTATGAGAGACAAAATGAGAAAAAAAAATCCAGAAAATCACATTGTAGGATTTTTAAAGAATTTATTTGCAAATTAAGGTGGAAAATAAGTATTTGGTCAATAACAAAATTTCATCTCAATACTTTGTTATATACACTTTGTTGGCAATGACAGAGGTCAAACGTTTTCTGTAAGTCTTCACAAGGTTGTCACACACTGTTGCTGGTATTTTGGCCCATTCCTCAAGAGCAGTAATGTTTTGGGGCTGTCGCTGGGCAACACGGATTTTCAACTCCCTCCAAAGATTTTCTAGGGGGGTGAGATCTGGAGACTGGCTAGGCC